AGAGGCTAGAGGGTCTTCAATCACTGCTAGACAATGGGAAACCACCAAATTGTGATACCTGAGGACTGTTATCCTTTGGATAAAAGCTATACAATAATTAACTTGCATTTTGGTGCTCTAGCTGCCTGTCTGCCCTCTGTTAATTCAGCTGCTGCTGCCAGGGAAGCCCTTCTGCACTGACTCACCTTCCTCCCGGGCAGCTGCTCTGCTGTGTGAGGGAGTGGTCAGGGCCATGGCATGCACAGACTGTGCTGGGGTGTGTGATTGGCACCAGCCGCTGTGGTTAAAAATTGCCCTTTTCCAAAAATTTCATCTAGTTCTGGGAGGTCATCAGTGATGAGCACGGCATCGATCCCACAGGCAGCTACCATGGGGACAGTGACCTGCAGCTGGAGAGGATCAACGTCTACTACAATGAAGCTGCTGGTAAGTGTCCCCAGTGCATTCTGCTGTAGGGGCTGTGCCCCAGCCCTCCCTGCAGTGAGTCTCAGCCTGGCAGAGCTTTAACAGCTGCTTTGTGTTCCCATCCCCAGCTACCTCCCTCCAAATTCCGTCACCCTCTGCATCCCGGGCAGCAAATAGCTTGAGGCTGGGAAACTCCCTGAACAAGAGCTGTCATCTGCCAGTGAAGCCTCTGAGAGCTTTGTTCTCAGAATGGCTCTGATAACACGGTAGTCTTGATCAAGACAGCACGTCACTCCAGTGAAATACAGGGAGGCGGAAGGGAGCACAGTGGGGCTCCTGTGATGCCGGCTGCAGGGCTGTAACGCCGGTGCTGGTTCCTCCCACAGGTAACAAGTATGTCCCCCGTGCCATCCTGGTGGACCTGGAGCCCGGCACCATGGACTCCGTGCGCTCCGGCCCCTTTGGACAGATCTTCCGGCCGGACAACTTTGTCTTTGGTGAGTGAGCGTGGGATGGAGGTGTCCCAAAGCGGGAGCTCGGTGTGCGAAGAGGCTCAGCGGGAGCACGCAAGCGACCTGGGGGACGTGAGTCCCACCAGCCCGGTGGGGATGGGGATGGCAGCGAGGGGTGGGGATGCCCGCGGGGCAGGAGGAGCGGCACCCTCTCTGTTCCTCCCCGGGGCGCTAACACGGCACCTCGCTTCTGGTCTGCCCTGCAGGTCAGAGTGGGGCCGGGAACAACTGGGCCAAGGGGCACTACACGGAAGGCGCTGAGCTGGTGGACTCTGTCCTGGATGTGGTGAGGAAGGAGTCGGAGAGCTGTGACTGCCTGCAGGGCTTCCAGTTGACCCACTCGCTGGGCGGTGGCACGGGCTCTGGGATGGGCACCCTCCTCATCAGCAAGATCCGGGAGGAGTACCCCGACCGCATCATGAACACCTTCAGCG